GTGGGCTATCAGATGCAAGGACGGCGCCCCCCCCTGCGGACACATGACCTGGGGGGGGGCAGCCGTGGCACTGCAAAAAACCCCAAACCCCAAATCCTAAACCCCAAACCCCAAACCCTAAACCCTAAATCCTGGGCCTTAACGGTTCTTAAGAGGCAGAGCCTCTTTGTATCCATTGACAGCTTTTTTGGCCTGCGCGGCTCATGGATTCAAGTCTTACCTGGACCCTATACAATCCCAATACAGGGGCCTTGATCATTAGAATAGGGTCTTGGGGCCCAGTATACTATAATTATAAGAAGGACCCCCCCCCAAAAAAAAATAAAAATAAAAATAAAAAAATAGTGTTAGTACTTGTTTAGGCCCCTACATTACCTTCTTGGGGGAATCCAGATTATACGTTCCTTACGTAAGTCCTTAGCAGGGTAAGGAGTTTTGGGAAAGGGTAGGGTTGATGGGTCTCAGGTTTGGCCCTACTCGAACGCATCCGCAGTCCTTCTGCTACTTTCAGTTGTAGCAAGAGTGGCAATGGCACCACAGAGACAACGATGTTAATTTCTTCCTCGAACAAGTATACGAAGGGGCAAGACCTCATAAAACGGCTTCAGAATCTTTGCAACTATCAGGCTTGACAGCCTGTAGACCCTACTGTAAAAATCCAAGATCTTCCATGAACCTTCAAATCGCAACGCTAAACGAGATCATTGCCCCCCATATCCAAAACCCCCAAAACCACCAAAAAAACCCTCACAAAAACCCTCAACACTCCGAATGTTCTACACTCCGAAACCTAAACCCTGAACCCTGAGCCGTAACCCTAAACCCGAAAACCCAGTTATTGTAGCATTGTAGCAATATTGTTGATGATATAAATCCTGCCCTACCTTAAGGACCCTCTACTTTAACCCTAAACCCTAAACCCTAAACCCTAAACCCTAAACCCCAAACCCTAAACCCTAAACCCTAAACCCACACTGAGCTTCTGGCAGACCCTGCCTTGCAACACCCGAGCGCCGCGCCCGCTGGAAGATCGTTTCGCACTGGGCTCCGCCGGCACCTCCGCATCCTGACATGGGACGAAAGTACCTTCAACTAATGTAGGGACATAGACACGCCAGGTACCTCCTAAAATCCTAAACATTCCCATCTATGATCGCTGTACAAGTCGGCAAAACGCAGTATCGGTAGGGACCTTAATAATTAGAATAGGGTTTTGGGGTATTTTATACTATAAATATAATGAGGAACCATAAGGAATACTATTGGTATTTATTTCGCTTACAACGTTACCATGACCTACTCTTCTGTAGGGTCTTATGACTACAGACCCCAAGTTAGTATAGAATCTATAGGAACCCTGTGAAAAAGAAGCTGTTGCTAGTTCAAGGTATGAGGGTAAGAGTGTTCCAACTTTCTAGCTTCTACTATATAAGGGCCCAAAAAATAGAATAGGCCTCCTTTAAGACTTACTTGTAGAGGGATCTACAGGGGTTACTCTAATATGTTTATTTAAAGGAAGGGTCCAATATAGGGCCCTTCCTAATTAGAATAGGATTGGGGGAACGTTCAGCAAGGGCTTACGGCAGTACTATAGGAGCCTTATAACTAGAATAGGGTTTGGGGGCCCAATATGCTATAATCATACTAAGGAGCCCCCAAATTATTTAGGCCCTTTATATTAGGCCCCTACAGTGGGGTTTGAGATGGTCTGCAGGTCAGAATTCTGGCCATCGGCTTACTCAGAAGCCCCGTAAGATCTAAAGGACAAGGCCGAACGCCGGCTGCCACGGTAGACTTCACGGGTAGCTCTAAAACGAACCCAGCCGAGTCTAGCACATTAACTTAAAAACTCAGAAACCACCCTAGACTCCCCTGCCCCCTAAAACCCTAAACCCTAAACCCCCAAACCCTACACCCTGAACCCTAACGCCTAAACCCAAAAACTCCAAAACACTGAACCTACATCCCAAACACCTCATTTCAGTCCTTCCGTGTGTGGAAGTGCCACGAAGCGGACCTGGTCGGGCCCACAAAACACGCCAAAAGGCTTAGGCTTCTAGGGGTTAAGGGTTTAGGGTTCAGGGGTTTAGGCTTAAGAAGCCTAAACCCTAAACCCTAAACCCTAAACCCTAAACCCTAAACCTTAACCGAACATTAGGGTTGAGGGTTCAGGTTAAGGGTTTAGGGGTTTACGGCTTCAGCAGCTCAGGGGTTTCGGTTAATGGTTCAGGGTTTAGGGTTTAGGGTTCAGGGTTTAGGGTTTAGGGTTTAAGGTTTAGGGTTTAGGGTTTAGGGTTCAGGGTTTAGGGTTTAGGGCACCTGGAAAACAAGACGAACGCAAGAAAAAGTGGCGAGAGTCATATGCGGGGCTCGGATTTCCAACATTCTCTCGATAGAGGAGAACCCTAAACCCTAAACCCTATAGGGTCGAGGGCTGTCGGATCTTTTGCGGCGAGATTTGACGCCTCTACAAATCCCTCGCGCTCTTTTGCCCAAAAGCCGTGAGCCCTAAAATCCTGTAATATAGGGGTCGTAATAACTAGAACAAGGTTATTGTACTATAATGATAATATAATGGAACCCCACAAAATAGTATTGCAAAGTATTTAGGCCTCGTACATTGAAAGCCCCCAGCCATTAAGTTTCTAAACCCTCTGGCGTTTGCGGAATTTCGGTGTGGTCTGGAAGTGTCCCTGATTTAAAGGAAACTACAGGTGGGGTGTTCAGGGTATATAGGGCTTCTATAAGGCTTCCATAAATGGTATATCGCCCCTACTATAAGGCTCCTACAACGGTAACTACCCACCTGAAAATGTCCTAGACTGATCCGGCCTCCTCGTTCGCCTCCTGCTGCGCAAGCCTTCAACCCGTTGTGGATTTCGGGCTTGGTGGGTTTGTTTGGGTTGGTTGGTTGGTTTAGGGTTTAGGGTTTAGGGTTTAGGGTTTAGGGTTTAGGGTCTAGGGTTCAGGGTTTAGGGTTTAGGGTTTAGGGTTTAGGAATCACGCTGCTGTGACCGAGAAAGTATGTTCTTCAAACATACGTTGTTCTCTAAATCAGGGTCCCTTTTAGGGTCCTTTTTATAGGGGGTGCCGTAGCATATTGGGGACTTACAATCTCTACATTAGGGTCCCTTTTAGGGTCCATTTTTATAGGGTAAAAAGGGACCCTAATATAGAGAACTACCCATAAGCCTAAACTGCTTCAACCCTAAACCCT